TTTGACTGCCACCTGTCACAAGAGGTCAGGGGTGGAATTTTCCATTTGTGGTGTCACATCAGCACTCAGAAAGTTTCAGATTTTGATGTATTTTGGATTTTTGGATTGGGATGTTGAACCTGTATTTTGCTTGTCTGACTATGGGTGTATGCAGGCCCCAATTTTATCTTTCTGCCACTTGAGCACGGGAGTTGATGCCTCACATGCTAATAAGCCTTTCACTCAAGAGACAGTAGCGAACTGCACTGGGGTTGGGTGAGTTGGGCTTCTCTGGGCAGATAAATACCAAAGTCACAGCAGCAATGTTTAGCATCCGCCAAAGAGAGCTGCAGCCGTCTGTTGTCTGTGTTGCTGGGTTTTGTTCCAGTTCTTATCATCTGAACTGTAAACCACTGAAACTTCCGGAAGAAAGGACAGCAGGGGACACTCGGCCTAGTGGCAGGGCTGTGGGTGTCACGTCCCATCCCTCCTCGTATTCGCTAGCCGGTTATCAACCTCGTGCCTGAGCCCAAACATTCAGTTCCGTGTGTCCGTGGGTGTTTTGTTTTGGGTGCTGGGGGAAACTCACAGACACCCTTTCCTAGTGTAATTGTTCTTGTTTTAAAAGAACTGTGCTATCATAGCACCATTGCTACTTAGTAATTTTTTTTAATCTGGTAAAAATACCAAGTCAATCAGCAGTGAAAATTCTCTAATCACACTTATCGTCTCACCCCCCCGAAAGTACATAAAACTCTGAAGCTTTGGCTAACGGGGCGTGGTCGGCAACCCTCGGAGGACAAAGAGCCAGCTGCTGCAAGCCTGTAGCGGCAGACACTCTTGTGCCAAGACCTGTGAAAAGCTGGGCTCAGCTGTCAAAACCAGCACCGGAGCATGTGTGGTTGTTCACGAGTGAGAGAGAATGAACTGGGAAGGAAGTCTCACACCCAGAGAAAGTTTTCGTTCTCACGCCAGGACATCACTCATGTGACTTAGGACACAGCCCAGCCATCCCAGACCTGAGGGACTCCTCCCTGTCCAGGGGGCATGCAGTCCAAGCCACTGCTCAGTCTTGCTGGCCTTGGTGACCGGCCCATCATCTGCATCTTCTGGATTCCAAACCAAATTCATAGCCCATGGAGGGAAACCTCAGGCAGTGGCCTTACTCTCCCACCTAGTCTAGATTCATGCTCCATCAGCTCCAGATTATGAGTCATGATTTACCAAATCCCCGAGTTGCCAAATGTGGACAGCAGATAGGTTTGTTCCTACCGGCTAGGTGCAAAGATGCAGCCAGTCCTCAGCTAGGCTTGCAGTACTAAAGGTGACAGAAAAGTGATGGTAAAGGTGGCCTTTTCCAGTCCATTTAAAGTCATTGAGATTGGCCATGGCATCACGGTGGTGGATAACAGACAGGAGGGTAGAGCCACCAACTCGTGATGTCCTAAGTTATCTCCCCCAATGCCAGTGTTCTGTAAATGGAAACGATTGAAATAAACATAATAAAAGGTTGCTTCAACCCAAGAATGGAGAGACTGCCTACATCAGAGGGGTTTTTTCCTTCCTCGTGACATGTATCCAACCCTGCGCCCCAGCCCCTCTCCCTGCACGGCCTGACGGAGCTCGAGAAAGCACGGGAGTGACACTCCCTTCAGAATGCTCCTACAGAGAGGGAAAGTGTGAATTCTGAAAGTCAAATGGCAGAATTGCTGTTTCATGTCTGGCAGAAGCCTAAACAGATTACCAAGCAGATGACTTGCGAACATTCAAAAGATTGCTATGGTCTAAGGACACCAAACTCATCCTGTTAACACAGGATATCACCAAGACATTTGTGAATATCTCATCGCCTTAAGAGATGTGTTGTTGACATGGGTAATAATGATAATATGAATCGGGTTTGAAACTGGTTGAACTGTTGATTGACCACTTGAACACTCAGGGAGGTCTCTCATGAGTTCTGGGCTCTGTCTTTGATCTGGCCTGTTTCACGTTTTCATCAGTAATAACTTAAATGAAGTCATAGAGGTTTGCTCATCAAATTCGGACATGACAAAAGTTTGAGGGAGATGATTAACATAGTAGACAACAAAATTAAAATTGAATAATTCATTATGATTGGCTAGAAAACAGACGGAATTTGGCAGAGATGTGTACAGTCCTATACCTAGAAAATCAAGGTAGGATCTAAGAAACCTGGCTTGAGAGCACTTTTTGTGAAAATTCCTGAGGGCTTTAGCAGACCCCAGCTTGACTGGCCACACCAGGATGATGCAGTTCACTACACAAGAGCATGGACACGCTTGTCCACACACGTGTGCACCTAGTCATCATTGCTCCACTGTGATCATCGAAGCAAAGGTTTGAGATCATGGGGAGGCCACTGCCTCCCTGCCCATCAAGCTGGTCAGACCATGCCCATGGTGCTGCACTTGGTCCTGGGCACCGTGGTGTGAGATGGCGCACACACACGGGAGAGTGCGGAAAGGGAGGGACTGGGCTGAAGTTCGGTGCTGGATCCTGAAATGCAAGAATGAGCAAAAGCAGCCCTGGCCTCATCCTAAGAGTTTGCAGCACAGTGGCAGGGCGAAGCCATCCACCCACAAATGCAGCCCCAAGGAGCCCAGGACAGAGGGCACTGGCACCTCAAAGACTCCTGCTATAGGGTCCTCCTGCTCTGGGAGACGTGGGGAAGGGCAGGTGCACAGGGGTCCCACAGGTCAAGGGCAAAGGCAAGAGCTTCCCGGGCATAGGAAGCAACACAGCCAGGGTGGGAGCTAAGGTGCCCTCATAGGCCAGAGGTGATGCAGGAGCCGGGGCGTTGGCCCAGAGAAGCAAATGGATTGAAGAGGTGGAGGAGTGGCCATCACCCTCAAAGGGCCTCACCTAGGAAAGCGGGATAGGGTTGCTTTCACCTAGTTCAAAATTAGGACCCATGTAGCCCCCCAGATGGCAGCTCGTGAGAGGCAGATCCTGCTCCGCGTGAGGAGTGACTTTCCCTCTGGGCAGCAGAGCTGCCCTCGTGCCCTGCAGCCATCTGGCAGTGAGGGAAAGCGCTCAGCTGCAGCTGGTGTTCTGAAAATGTGGGTCTTGCCTGGGTGGGAAAAGAAACTGGAAGGTTTCTGCGTTCTCTCCATGCTGTCCATCAGCCCTGGGCAGTTGAGTGTGAGTCACCTATGGGCGCCATAGGTCACACGTGCTGGCCCACCGCCTCCCTCTTGCTCTCCTGAAAGCAGCCCTTCCCACGGTGCAGGCTGGTCTCAGAAGGCACCTGTCGGCTCTTTCTGATCACAGCCACAGTGAGAAATGCAGCCCACTGCATGAGACCACATACTGAGAGCTGAAATGGAAGTTTCTGGAAGGAACTCCCTTACTAGGTGCAGTTTTTAATCCTAGTCTTAATCCATTAATGAGACGGATGATGTCCTCAGTTTGAAAAAACACTGGCTGGAACTCAGCTTCTGAGAAGTGTCCCCTGCATGCCCCTGTTCCCTCTCAACTCTTCCCTAAGGCTTTCGGGGGAGGAGGGTCTGAGTGTCCAGGCCTCGTGGTCACTTCGCTCTGCACCTTTCTTAGTCACCTAGGCCCCGCCCACGGCTGCCCCCCCAGCCACCCCCGCATCGCACCACCCACTCCCACACACCCCTTGGGGTCCCCTGAGGAAAGGAAGTATTGGGCCTCTTCTCTTCCACCGTGTAGCACCAAGTACTTTGCTTTCTATTAGAAAGAAAAATTAGAAACCATGACTAAGTCTTCAGGTCAGCCTACAAAAGCCTCTTTAGGGCGCAAATTGCCAAAAATCTCAACATTTACAAGAGTATCATCTTCTATGTTATTGTAAGTGCAGTATATTTTAATATAAGTAGAAAAAATAGATTCCTGTGGCTGGTCTGGAACCGTAAATATTTTTATAATACGGTCTTAATCGGGAAAACAGGTACGAACACGCTTTAGAAACAATGCCTATTTCACCATTGGAGAGTGCCTGTATGGAAAAGTACAGGAAACTTCTCTATTCACAGAATCGGGATTTGTGGTCCAAAAAATGTAAGCCTGCCTCTCCCTGGCCCTGGTGGCTTTCCCTGCCTCCCTGGGCTGCTACCCCAGGCTTAGCCCCTGTGCACCTGGCTGCTACTGCTGCAGAAGCCCAGGCTGCGACGGTGCTCAGGAAATGCAGCAGCTGTCAGGAGGGCCCAAGTACACCGTCCCAACTGTGTGACACCAAGGGCTGAAAGTGCACTGTTACCATCGGGCATGAAACTTGCAGAATGCAGTCGTGCTCATGCATATGGAAACACGACTTTCCTGAGTTTTTCCTCGGGAATCAGACTTGACCCTAAGGAGTGTGGCCTGGCGGTGAGCTCAGGGCTCCTTGTGCTGACCTGCTCTGAGGCCTGGTCCCAGCAGGTCACTTGAACCGCAGAAGCCTTATTTCATTGTCTATAAAATAGAGATTGCATGAGGTAGTGCATATGTATTGGTTACATACAGTAAGCATTAAAAAATTTGCACCTGTGATAATTGTTAAACATCACATTTCACACTGAAATGAAAAATCGGGGAAGGGGGTGTTTGTTTGTTTGTTTTTTGAGACAGAGTCTCACTGTGTTGCCCGGGCTAGAATTCCGTGGCATCATCCTAGCTCACAGCAACCTCAAACTCCTGGGCTCAAGCGATCCTCCTGCCTCAGCCTCCCACTGTGTAGCTGGGACTACAGGCATGCGCCACCATGCCCGGCTAATTTTTTCTATGTATTTTTAGTTGTCCAATTAATTTCTTTCTAATTTTAGTAGAGACGGGGGTCTCGCTCTTGCTCAGGCTGGTTTCAAACTGCTGAGCTCAAACAATTCGCCCGCCTTGGCCTCCCAGAGAGCTAGGATTACAGGCGTGAGCCACCGCGCCCAGCCTATTTGTTTTTTAATAAGTTTGACGTTTGCTACAAAACTCATGTAACAGTCTGGGCCCGGTGGGTAAACGGCAATGTTGTCAGCCTCTTAGGTGTCTGCTCTGTCTGCTTGCAGGTTGCCCGGCTCATGGAGATGGGGTTTTCCAGAGGTGATGCTTTGGAAGCCCTGAGAGCTTCAAATAATGACCTCAACGTGGCCACCAACTTCCTGCTGCAGCACTGATGGTCTGAGGCCAACACTGGGACCAGCCCAGCTGCTGAATGACAGGGGCATGGCCCTGCCACCAAATCAGCCTGGAGGACCAGGCACCTCTGGCACTGATGTGCTCGTGGGGAGAGGGTGGTCCACCCCTGCCCTTTACTCCAAGATCGTTACTGTTATAGTATCAAAATAAGTTTGCCTTTAAATTAGCATGTATTTTCTATCTTTATTTTTTTATTGGGCATTTTCCCTAGTTTGGAGAATCATCACTCATTCCTAATGTGTTGAAAATGCGTTAAAATTGCGGATTCCTGCCGACGGTTGAGCAGCACTCCGGATGGGGAATTGCTGCCGTGGCAATCTCCCTACTGCCACGCGTCATCCTGCACACCGCCTGGTTGTGATCATCAAGACGGGGAGAGCAGAACGTTATTTCGGAAAGGACATGTCAGATCATTCTTGATGGACTTTTTTTTATCTCTTTCTTTTCCTCAAACGTGTTTTCAAATCCCGGTGGCTGGTCAGTGTCCACACTTCCAGGGGCTGAGGGAGGAACGGGGAGCTAACTCCCATTCCAGGCTGCTCCGGCCCAGGGGACTTGTCCCAGTTCCTTCTCCCCACACCTATTAAAAAATGGTAATCAAGTACCGATTTAAGGTTCTGGAATTCTCCATGAAAATTAACTGGGGTAATTTGCTCAGAATATCCAGTTAGCCACTCAGGTAGGGGTGAAATGGGACAGAGAGAGCAGTAGGCTTCTGGAGCCATGCGGCTGACTAGAGAGCACAGTGCAGGCTCAGCCCTAGAAGAGAGACGGTCCCTTGCTCACCCCATCCCCACTACAGGCTCACAGCCAGTCCCTCTGGCAGCTGCTTCTCCCCGAGCCCTGGGCCTTGACCCCACATGGCGGGAGGCAGAGCAGACTGTGGAGGGCGGGGTGGACCATCATAAGCACGAAAAGATCCGAAGCGAGTTGACTGTTAGGATGTGAGGAAATTGTGCAACTGTTATGTTCTGCAAAATGGGCAGCAGTGTATCAAATTGATGCGAATTTAGATGTGCGATACTTAATAAAGTTTTTAATGTGTTTTACTTTTTGGTATTTTTCAGTGGACTTAATCTGAACAAAATTTTGTTCTAGACTGTACATTTACCACAAAAAAATTTTTTGCCAGACTGCTCATCTTTCTTCAGAAGACTTGAGTGCTTTTTTGAAGTGAGTGAAGCACTTTTGTTCCTGTAAGTGACACCGCCCACGGAACACCCCAGGTCAGTGGCATTACATGTGAAAACCTGGAACCTTGGCTTCACTGAGGCCCTCTTCTTAGGCTGGTGAGGGCCATCGGGCTGCTGGGAATGGGGATTGATGTGACTTTCCAGGAGCCCAGCTGGTCCCAAGCACAGGCCCCTACTTCAGTCTGAGTTGCCCTGGGTCAGGTCAAAGGAAGAGTTGACGGTAGCACAGATGTCCCCAACCTCATTCACTGAGCAAGGCACAGTCAAGACAGCCTGAGAGCGTGCTGCTTGAAGACATGAGAGTCTAGGCCTTGAGGCAAGTTGAAATCCACCCTCGGTACTCCCCTGTGCAAAGACACAGGCAAAGAACAACTTGTATCCAAAAGTAACACCATCTCTTGTCTTCCTTCTCACCTTCAGAAGGCACCCAGCAAGGTAAAACCAAACCAGAAGCAAAGTCCTCACAGGAGGGGTGTGGGGGGGAAATGCCCGGTTGTTACTATCACTAATTAGAGGCCTCCATTCAAAATTATTAACCACAGCAGTTCTTGTTTGTTTGCTAATCAGGATTCCCTCCTGAGTGTGGTTACGTTTCATAGATCTTTGTCCTTCCCACAGGAACCTTAGTGACCCTCTGTTTCAGTCCTTCAGTGCAGAGAGGAGAGGACAGAGGCCCTAAATAGTGGCAAAGCTGGGAGACACCCACGGGTTTTTTCTGAGTCCTTCCAGCCTCTTTCCCAGGTCCTTACAGCTGCCAAGTCCTCACCTTCCCATTGGTGGCCTGAGATTTTCCACCCTTGTCATGCAGCTGCCAGCCCCTTCTCTGCTTTCATACCCAGCCTCTGGCCCATCTCGCACACAGTCTGCCCTCGCTCCTGCCACGTGTTCCTTGCCTTGCTGGCGTTCCCGTCGCTGACCCAGTCTTGCTTCCTGCAAACCCTGACACACTGCAGCCATCCACCTTAGGACTTTGGAGTGCCTGAGAACATCCACACCTGTCAAGACGCAGGAAATCTTTGAGGCTGACAGCACCCCTGACGGAGGCCCGTGCTGGTGATGCGTGCCAGAGGAGGGCATCAGCGAGCCATTTGATTTGGTTTCCTAAGGTTCAGAAAAGATCGTTCAGGCTTTTGATTTTGTGCAAACGGTAACAGATTGGACTTAATTTTCAAGCAAGCAGAATTCTGGATTGTGAAATGAGAAAAGAATATGGAAAATTGTCTGTAGTGAACCCTCCTTCTGAAACTAAGGAAAACCTGCCTTTAAAGTCCTGATTCATAAGCCTAGGCTGAGTTTGGGATTAGAAAGGTAAAAATTTTAGGGAAATTGAGCACAAAATTGTGCATGCATTCCAGTGTCACTTAGAGTGTTTTCTGGGTCCCTGAGTTTATGTTCCTACAATTATTTTTTTTTATTTCAGGATATTATGAGGGTACAAACATTTTGGTTACATTTTATGTCTTTGCCTCACCCAAGCGAGGATTAGAGGCATGCCCTTCCCCTCTACAATGCTCACTGCGTCCATTAGTTGTGAGTTTACTCCCCTCCCAGCCCCTTAATCCCTGGAGAATATTACTACCGTGTGAGCACCATAGTGTTGATCAGTCAGTGCCAATTTGATGGCAAGTACATGTGGAGCCCATTCTTCCGATCTTGTGATACCTCACTTTGGATAATGGGCTCAAGCCCTATCGAGGAAAATATAAGAGGTTCTAGATCACTGTCATTTCTTATGATTGAGTAATATTCCATTGCATACATATACCAAATTTTGATAATCCACTCATGGATTGACAGGCACTTGGGTTGTTTCCACATCCTTGCAATAGTGAATTGTGCTGCCATAAACATTCGTGTGCAGATGTCTTTATCATAGAATGTCTTTTGCTCTTTTGGGTAGATGCCTGTGCTATTGCTGGATCGAATGGTATTTCTATTTTTAGCTCTCTGAGGTATCTCCAAATTCTTTTCCACAGAGGCGGCACTTGAGTTTTATCTTAACCAAGATAGTTTGTGATATTTAACTTGTAAGAATCAGAAGAAGGTTGCACACTAACTGACAGTGTGTTTTCATAAAGCAATGGGCCAAGAAGACCAAAATCAGCTTTCTGGCTCAGACTAAAATTTCATTTCTGAAACTCCAATCTTACATGTGAGAAAAATTGCCACAATCCTACGAATTTACTAACCTGCTTGATACAGCCCTGTCTCGTGGAGAAACCCTAATAGCTGGATTTTGATGGTACCACTAATAGAGTAAGGATGTCAGGCAGAGAGGAGGGCTGGGGAGAGGTGTCACTAGATGTTGGAAATCAGTCTGAACAGAGGCATGGGTTAGACAGCCAGGTCGGGGGGCCTGCTATGTGATAACAGAGTAAGTCGGATGACTGGGAATGTGGACGGAGGAGAGGGGAGGGCTAACGGCGGAAGCTTGTGGAATTCCAGCATCATATGGAGAAAGAGGCAGAGCGGAGCAGGAGATCTAGGAGTGCACTAGGGAGGTGTGGGTGCTGTGGGGCTCCAGGGGACAAGAGCTGGAACGTGAGGCCCAGTGAGGAAGCAGAGATGGGAGGAAGAGGAGTGCCCAGGACAGCCTGAGACCCAGGCCCAGAAAGGGGGTGCTCAGGAGTCCAAAAGAGGGGTCAACACTTCAGTCCTCTAGAACTAGAGGAAGGAGAAGATGAGGGTGAAATAGGAGGGAAGAGGAATAAGCTCATGTCTTAGAGTTTCTAGCTTCTTACTAGAGAAGGAAGGAGGAGGGGCCAAGGCATGGCTGGGAACTTAGGGAGCGTGGATGAAGGTCTCCAAACAAGAGGAAGACGCAAGGGATCTATATGGGCCAGAAACAGGGCTTTGGCCGCTTTTGTGTATTAGCTGCAGTATTGTGGTCTCCTGAGCCCCTGCCCGGCGGGAATGATACTGAACTGAACTTGGGCTCACCTGCCCAGCTCCACAAAGCCAAGCACTGGCACCAGGATTCGCAGCAAGAGAGAGAAAGGGATTTATCACATGGCACCAAGCAAGGAGAACCAGCAGCTAATGCTTAAGACCCAAACTCCCCAGTGGCTTAGAAGCAGGGGTTTTTTAATTCAGGGGTATATTTCAGGAAAGCAGAAGTTACAGGCAAAGTCATAAATCAGTGCGTGGAGGTTATACATTGGTTTGACCCAAAAAGGTGGGATATATTGAAGCAGGGGCTTAGGGGTCATAGGTAGATTAAGAGATTCTTTGATTAGCAGTTGTTATGGAAGCAAGGCCTGGTCTAAAAACTTGAGGTCAGTAGAAGGGCACGTTAAGGTTTGGCCTGTGGGCAGGACTCTCCAGGCCCCTGGGAAGAAATTTAGAACAAAGAATGGTGGTCGGAGTTCAGTCCTCAGTTCCTCCTATCTGAGGCCTACATGACAGTGGTTGGCATTTTCCATCAGGTAGGGGTCTGGGTTTCTGAACTACAACTCAAAAACATGTGTTAAGATGTTATCTTTTAGTTTCTGTGGGGAACCAAAACACCTTATGACTCCAGCTTGCTTGGGAGACAGTTGATTTAAGTTACTGCTGTCTTCTGCCGACCAGGTTGCTCACTCGCTGTCTCAAGGCTAGCTAGGTACCTGGAGTGTCCCTCAGAGGGACTCAAGATTTTTCCATTATTTCCATGCTTGGGGATGCAGGTGCCTGGCAGGCCCCTAAGAGGAGTCCCTGCTCTGTCTCAGGGATGTCAAAGGCCCTAGAGGCTTAGACAGGTATTAGACATTCCAAGAACCTATTAATAGCTGGAGCGCACAGGGCCCTCGTGGTGTTCTCAGGCCAGCCCACAACTTCCAGGGAAGCCAGTTGGTTCTGTGACCTTTCTAGAATGTTCTATCTGAGCTTACCTGGGTGTTTGAGTAGGCTTGGAGTGGGAGGGAAGAAAGAGAAACCCAGGTCCCTGGGGGAGGAGTGAGGGAAAGAGATCTTCAATAGAAATCTACCCGGGCCAAAGCCAGCACGTCTACTTACCTGCAGACCTACTCTGGTCCCAACCAAACACAGAAGGACCTTAGGGACCCTGGGAGGCTGTCCCTGAATGGCCAGACCCAGACATTCCAGGGCCTCTGACCGCAGCAAAATGAAAGAAACAGCAAATGTATTATGTGATCTACAGTCAGTGAAACTGGAGAAAAACACCCAGAATCCCACTCCGCCCAGGCAGTGGAGAACTCTCTTCAATCTGGCTTCTGTCTTGCCCACAGTGTGTAGTGCCCCTGCTGACAAGGCTTCTATAGGCCAACAACCTGAGCCCCTGTGCCCTGAGTATTCTACCTGTTCTTAAATTTAGGTGGCTCGCAGGGTCGTAGAGTGTTGGAACTAGAAGAGAACATTCATCTGGTTCGAGCCCACATTTTCAGGTGAGGAGACAGGGTCAGAGGGAGCCGAGGGGACTTGGCAGGAGCCACTGCAGGGACATGACAGGCTTGAGGGCCTCCCTGCAACAGGGCAGTGGGAGGAGAGAAGGCAAGTCCCCCAGGGGCGACCTTCAGACTCCCCTTGAGGCTGTCCTGGTTCCTTACTCCTGCCTACACCATGCCAGGGGCACCATGCCCAGGCCCTCCCCTGGCCCGGTCCTCCCCACTGTGTGTAGGAAGAGCGGAGCCCCCAGCAGAACCCCCAGGGATGCTGCAGGGGAAACAGGCCAGGATTCCTGCCATAGGGCCAGGGTTTTTTTCCAAACCCACTACAGCTGCTGAAGCCATGTCCAACCGGCTGTCCCCAGTGCTGCTGTCACTCACACATGCTCATGAGACACCTCCAGCAGGTGGAAAACTAGGGGCCTTGGAATCAAAGGTGC